TGCTGAGTCACGGCCTGAACCTCTGACTGATCACCTGAGGTGAGCAATGAGTCAGCCATGGGAGCACAGGTGAAGGCAGTTCACCTGTACTGCTGGAAGGGGTGGAGCTTGGTTTCACCCCCCCTAGACCCACTTAAGAGCTGACTACCACTAGGGAAGGCTCTCTTCTGGAGATCCACTCCACTGGAGTTTCCTAAGCCAGCCCAGGATAAGGGTAAGCATCCCTATCTTTTTTGTTTTCTGCTTTGGTGTAATGACTACATAGCCAAGCTCTCTGCTATACTATAACATCTGTACGTTCATTGATTGTACAGACTGTTAAGCATATATGCATCCACTTGAAGCAGTAAGTGCCACCAAATTTAGGGCTGCCTGGGAATTTATTGTTACTGCAGTCAAAATCCTCCAACTCGGAACCGAAGACAGAGATGAAGAAGGCATTAAACATCTCTGCTGCCTCTGCATCCCTATTTGTGATGTGACTATTCTCATCAAGTAAGAGACCCATGTTATCTCTGGTCCTCATTTTGTTGTTAACATATTGTTCCCCACATTAAGGGCCAGCTTCAACTCTAAGTTTTGGCCAAGCAAATTTTATTCTTACAGTGACAAACATCATCACAGTAGCCTTCCTATGTCACCTAACCTCACTTCCAGCAGCCATACATTTTCTGCCTAACCTCTGATCAGGATTCCTGCACAGGCAAGCCACCTGTGTTGACTTCCAATATTTTGGAATCGCCTGTTCCCTGTGCTCTTAAGAGGCGGTACTGGTACAAAAAAAGCCACCAGTACTGATGGATTGTAATGCCTTCAAAAGCAGTTTCCCAGTGAATTCTGCTAACTAATTTCCTGAACAGCTCTTCTAGAGTTAAGAGTCTCTCCTGCTTACAGCAGTGGCAAATGCTGACAAGAGAAGATCTGCATCAGGCTAAGCACCCCAATTGCTAAGGGTTTATGATTCAAATCTTAAACACTAACCTTCATGTAAAAAGCAACAAACAACTGGAACCAGATTTATGGAATCATAAGGCTAAACGAGAGGTACCTCAAAGATGTTTTTAGTCCAATCACCAAAGCAGGTTTAAAACAAAATTTCGGCCATGCTGCTGAAGGCTATATGCAGTTGAGGTTTCAAAACCCTTCAAAAGAAACCGTTCAGCTTTCTTGGGCAATGTGTTCAAATACTGAATTGTCTTCCCAGGGTGCTGTTTTTTTCCTCCCTTATACTCAATATGAGAACCTCTACTGCTTCAAATTAAATTGTTGTCTCATGTCTCCACTTGTACATCCATACAGGTACAAGGTTCATCTTCTTGAAAACACCCTTAGAGGTAGGGGAAGGCTGCTATCATGGGCAGGATCTGAGCCTCATCAAAGCCCATCTAGGCTGAACCAGCCCAGCTCCCTTGGCTTCTCCACATTAGTGAGGAGCTTCTGTCCTTGACCACCTTGGTGTCCCTCCATTGATCACAATCCCGTTTAGATTGATCTTTTCTGTACCAGAGAACTCAAAACCTGATATTTCAAATGGGATCTAATAAGTGTTGAGTATAGAGAAAGAAAAAAAACAACTCCTCTTGATTTGTCAGCACGTGGACTTAATTTTCACTGCTAGAAAGCTGAGAACGGTGCAGAGATTCCCAGGGACGCCATCTTATCATGGTATCATTCGCTGTCTTCAATCTAAAGGTGAAAACAAAGTTTTGTCCCACCCAGTAATTTAGCTTAATCCTCAGGTTGATAAAAAGTTCACTCAATAACAACAAGGGAAAGTATTCTTTACCATTCCTCATAGCATCTGCATTTGGTCAGTAGTTAACTGAAAAACACAACGCAGATTCTGGGAGTACATACCAGAGTCACAGTGTCTTAATTTGGTAACTAGATTGTTTAAATTCACACCGTGTTGCACAAGCTTTACCTGTTCTCCCTATGAATAGAAGAAGGCAACTGAATAAAAATTTTTAAAAAGGCAGAATACAATTGTTTTTCATAGGTACATAAAATACTAACTAGTATACTTCAGTATAAAATACTAAATTAAGAAAACTTGGACTGGCCTTTTAGAAGAAAGCAGAAGAAAAAAAAAATGACACAAGGCTTGCAAAATACTTTTATTTTTAAGAGTATTCCTACAATATTTTTTAAAGTCTCACCGTTTACTATCTTAAGTACTTCAAAATGCTTCAGGAAGTCTCTATAAGAATCATACACTTTCAATGTTTCCGTTCCAAGTCTATCTGAAATATTTTGGTTTGGTTTTTTTTCCCCCCAATCAGAAATTCTTGATCTGGGATCTTCTAATGCAAGTGTCACTCATAAATGACTTTTCCAGCTCTGACAAAGAAAAAGTCTGAAACTGTGAACATGAAAAAAACATTTTGTTACTTTTTTTTCCCCTCAACATTTCAGCTTTTAAACACATGGAAAATTTTAGTGAAATGAATGAATCAGACAAAACCCAATGAGATTTCCTGGCCAACCTGAATTGAAAACATTAAACCTAAGGAAGAATTAAGTTGCTCTTGAAAGGCAGCCAGCTGGTCAGTCATGTAAAAGCAGCAGATGAGCCTGGAGAGAACATGAACAGCACATTCAGCTTTGAAGTACAAAGGTAAAAACACAGAAGAAGTAAACGGAAAGATGTGCTAGGAGATTTACATAAATAAAGAGATCATCTCCCAAGACTGCTGAGTGCTGGATGTTTGCACTCAGTTGCTCTTCAGGAATAATGATGGGTTAATAAATCCCTGCAGGTCTGTCCCACTATCCAGGAAATCCTGCCCATGCATAGCACCAGAAAAGTGACACGTGATATGAACATCTACTGCTGAGCTAAAATTGTGCCTGCCACAACAAAAGCTGCTAAAAGCGGAGGTGATTCTATACCACTTCCTCATCTACCCACATCCTCCCTCACCCAGTGTTTGCTGCTTCACAGTTCATTCAGTTCACAATAGCTGAGTACCACCATGAGACATGGAGAGGCTCCTGAAACCACCCACAAGTCAGTTCTACATGACAGCCTTCTGCATATGGTGACTTCACAGCTTTTCTCTAATGGGATAAGATCACCTCATCAGCAGAAGCTGACAACACAGAAGTTGCATTCAAGTCGTACAAACATCTTTGGATGGCAAACACATGCATAGAAATAGGGGAATATAAGCAAGTCCATGCTTTCCAGAAATTATTTTTTTCCAAATAAGCAGACAACAAAAAATGAAAAACAAAAAACAAATACCACCACACCCAGAAACTTACCTGAAATCACATTTTCCCATCTACCCTAATAAAGGTAACAACAGCACATGCAACAAGGATAAAGGCAGGTGTAAGAAGTTACCCTATGCTTACTTCGGGCAACATCACTTTTATTGTTTCCCACTGCACAATCAGGATCACTAAGCAAGTAAGTCAACTCCTTTTTTTTTTTTTTTACCAGTCAAGTTTTCTACCATTCTGACTTCCTACCGTGATGTTTAAGCTAAGTATACCCTTATTTTACTCAGGCCAATATTATCTAGTATCTGTAAGTTTTTCAAACGTTGCCTAAATACTCTAAATTATCGCTGTTTGCACTAACTACAAACAGTGCTACACAGTTGTTCACTGCTTTTTGCTTGCTTCTGTGTAGATGACATATATTTAATTTGAAAACTTTAAGTCAGCACAGGATGAATGCCTTGCCAGTTCTTGGAGAACTACTGTGGTCTGAAAAATAAGGATGTGATTCAGAAGTGCACATAAGTGCATGTGAAAGTTTAAGCTTGTGCTTAACTCCAGTTTTGAAGTGATTATTTCTATTTGAATAGCATATGATTTTTCACTATCACAACCCATTTTGATGGTGAAAAGAGCCCATTTTTTTTTTTCAGCCATCTGCTGCAATGCCTTATTTTGGGACATCCTGTCCTTCCCAGAAGAGAACAAAGTTATGAAAGCTGCAGCCCATTACCTTTAAGAATGCTTTTCATCAGTATAGTTGCCAGGAGGAAAAAAAAAAAAAAAAAAAAAAAAAAACCACCAACAATCCTCTACACATAAACAATCATAGAACTTATGGAAATTGAGTATGTTTCGTAGTGTTCTAACAAACATGTAAATGCAATTCACAACCTATTATGTTAGCAAATATACTCAGTGTGCAGTTGCCAGTGTGATGGTTACTGTTTCAGATGAACTGACCAAGTGATGCTAAACCTGGAAAGGTAACTTGATTTGAAAGTGTACTGTTTATGGATATACCACGCAATAAAAGCTGCTGCAGTTCCACAGAAGCTTCCTTCCAAGAAGGCCACAGTTTAAGCTTGATAATGACTTCAGCCTCGTAATGATCACTCCGGGCAGTCTGGACAGTCTTATTTTCACATCTCTACAGGAAGGATAATTATAATACAGTTGCGTGGCTAAAACTGGAAGCTGACCTACCTGCTAAGAATGGCTTTGGACACAGGTCCTCCGAACCAGGACTGAAAGCAGCTCCAAGGCACGCTCGGAGGCAAACTTTCAAAGCACAGCGTTTCAAATGCAGCACAAAGCCAACTTTTAATCCTTCCTCTGTCCTCCCGAAATCTTTTACGAATTTCCAGTCCTATCTCCTCGTTTGAATACGTTTACTTTCCCCTACATCTAGTTAGAACCGCACGAAGAACACTGGATAATCGCTAAAACTAGGAAAGAATCAAGGCGATTCAAGCGCGAGCGTCGCCAAGAGACGAAAAGGAAACGACAAGCCGAGAGCCGCCCCGGCTCCGCCAGGTAGGCTGCTGCCGGTAACTGCTAAGCACGCCACCGCAAGCGCCGCACTGCCGCCTGAGGACGAAGCGACCCGCAGCGCCCCTGTTGATCTGGCAGAGCCCAGCCGAGGGCTTCCCAGGGGGCTCCGAGGGCCCCGCGAGGACGAGCCTCTCCCGACCCTCAGGGTGGACAGCCGGGGCTGCCCGCCCGCCCGCGTAGCGCCGCGGTGCTGCCCGCCGGGCCCGCCCGGCCCTTACCAGGGAAAGCACTTTGTAGGTGTTGGGGTCCTTGCTTTTGCCGCCCGGAGCTTTCTCCGGCTCCTCGGCCACCTCCAGGGCCGGCAGCATTGGCACGGCCGCAGCCTGCAGCTCGCCGTCGGCCGCCCCTCTCCCGCCGAGGCCCTCCTGACGGCCGTTGCCCGCCGCCTTCTCTCCGTTGCCCTGCATGCCGCCCGCCGCTCTGCCCTCCGCCGGCCCGGCCGCCGTTATTAATAGCGCGGCGGCCCGGCCCGACCGGCCCCGCCCCTGCTGGAGCGCGGCCGCCGGCAGCCCCCACTCCCACGCTGGCGGGGCCGAGCCGGGCCGGGGCCGCAAGCCCCGGGTACGGCCCCATTGCCCGCCCTCGGCCTGCAGGCACGGCCCATCCGCACCTGTGCTGGTGAACCTGCAGCTTGGGTGGCTGCGGGTGTGAGGCTCCGTCACCGCGAGCACAAAACAAGGAGCTGGCAGGCAGTGTTTGCGGGGCAGGGTGGAGAATGTCGCTTCTCACTCGAGGCAACTTGGGGTTAGCTGTCTCAGCGGGCCGGGACAGCGTTAGTGCAGTACCTGTGTATGTACCTCCTAGGTACCCTTCTGTCCACACCCTTCTATGTCTTGTGTTTAGATCTACTCATCCATGGTCTGACCTCTCCCTGCCTATTCTCACTAGCTCAGCCCTACTGTTTGATAAGGGAGAGGTGCGCTGTTAGCTTTTTTAATGACCCTACTTGACAGCTTGCTCCAGAATTATACATCTGGCTGTTTGTTATCAGTTCCACATGGACTATGAGCCTACCAGTTGCCTGAAAGGTTCAGAGAACGCTTTGTTGGTCATTTCTCCAAGAAACATGGAAGTCTTCAGTAACATCAATAGTTGGAAAGCCTCCTTGTGCTTAAAATTGCTAAAAGTTAGCAGCTTAGCATAGGAGGACCTGGATGTGTGAGGTAGACATCAAGCTGAATAGGAGCCAGCAATGTTCCTTTGCTATGCAGAAAGCTAGTGGTATCGTGGGCTGTGTCAAGGCAATGGGGAAGGTCCCCTCTACCCAGCACCTGTGAGGTCACACCAGTAGGTCCTATGCTGTGATCCCCCACACAAGAGATGTAGGCATACTGGAGAAGATACAGACTTCTGAGAAGGGCCATGAAGATACGGAAGAGATTGGAGCACCTCTCCTGTGAGGAGAGGCAGAAAGATTTGGGACTGTTCAGCCTGGAGCTAAACAGGGATTCAGGAATGATTTCATTAACATTTATGAATATCTGAAGAATGGGTGCAAAAGAGACAGAACCACTCTTACGATTCTTTTCATTTGTTTCCAGTGGGCCCTGAGAAACAAAATGAAACAGAGGAAGTTCCCACTGAAAATCAAGCAGCACTTCTGTGTTGTGTAGATGATGGAGCACTGACACAGGTTGTCCAGGGAAGCTGTGGTGTCTCCTCCACAGAGATCTTCAGAAGCTGCCTGGACAGTCCTTTGAGTGTCCCCGCACAGGCAAGGGTTTGAGCAGATGGACACTGAAGACACCTCAGCCATCCTATGAAAAAACTCGTTTTCCATCATTACTTATATTTTATGTATAGATATATATATTGAAATTAGATTGTCTTTCATTCTAAGGTGGTGATGGCTTTGAAATACAAGGACTTAAGAAGTCTGTAGCAGATTTTCATGCGATTTTGTTCCCTTCCAAAATATTACTACTCTGTTTTCTATTTCAGCTGAGTCTCATAATCAAATGGCCACTACAGCCTCCAGGATAAACAAAAATTCTAAAGACTTAGCATTTATTTAACATTTATAGAATTACTGCTACTACAGCTCCCAGCATATTAAAGATCTGGGCAAGGGTGACTGTCATCACCTTCTGAGTCACATTCTGGCCTGTTTTGACTGCACAGGTGTCACCTTGAGCATTTCTGCACTAATGATTCACATAGTGACAGAGAAAAGGAAAAAGCAGATGGGGCTGTGGCTATCAAACTCTTGAGTCTACAATAAGATCTCCTTTATTCCATTAATCCAGCATTTCAATCTGTGAAACTAAATACCTGATACATTTTTAAGGACTTTGACATCTAATGAAAAAAATGTAAATTTGAGATTGTCTGATAACTTTAAAAGACTCATAAAAACTAAAATAGCAGAAATAGCAGTTTTATTCATTGAATCTGGTTTTAATAACTAGTGCAACAAAAGACAGTTACAACCTCCCTTTTTTTTTTTTTTTTTTTTTTTTTTTTTTGTATGTCTGGACAATTAAAAGTTCTTAGCTAATTTTAAAGAACTAAAAATTCATTTTTCATCATTTTTTGTGTATTTTTCTGATAGCTTTTAAGAGTAAGTCAAGTAGAAATCTTTCTTGTACTATGTAAGTCATCAACTCAAAAGTTCCAGCAACACATGTTGTGCACTGGTGATTCTCAATGGAAATGATATATAATTAGATCACAGACAAAAATGTGTCCCTTTTTTCCATCTGAAGAAGGGCTTTACTGCAGTTGCAGCTAACTCTCAAATCATTCATTGAGTAGCAATCCACCGACAGCTGTTTTTCTATGTACAAATATTTGTGAAACACCCCCAATTTTATCATTTCTTTCTATGTCAATATAAACAGTTAAGGTACTTCAGGCTAGGCATGGAAAATAATTACCCTGTGTAGAAAATAATTAACCCACCTGTGAGAAGAATGCTCATTTCAGATGACTAGCAGTGTGTCTAAGGTACACTATACAAGAATGGAAAGGAAAACCAAATAAGATTAAGTTCTGAAATCACATGGGAAGCCTTTTCTGATGAATACTAGGAGACAAGACGGAACGTTTCAAATGCTAAGCCTTCAGGAATCTACAGTTACTTCACTGCTTCAGAAGGAGATTGTGAAATACTGGTCAATACAGTTTTAATAAATATTTGACAAAGTATATAACTGTAAAATTAATTAATTTCAATTGTTACTAAAATTGCAAATCCGAATTCCAAAAGACTTGGCTATGGCTTTTTCAGCAGACACAGAAAGCTTCAGAGGGAGCCCAGATTCCCAGCAGCCAGTGCAAGCGTTGAGCAATTCATCTCCTCACCAAATGTAAGGGGAAAACCTCTTAAAATCAGCCATAGAATCATAGAATCACCAAGGTTGCAAAAGATCTCCAAGATCATCTAGTCCAACTGTCCACCTACCACCAATATTTCCACACTAAGCCACATCTGTTAGTACAACATCTAAACGTTTCTTGAACAGTTCTAGGGAGGATTACTCCACCACATCCCTGGACAACCCATTCCAGTGCTTCACCATTCTTTTGGAGAAAAAATTTTTCCTAATACCCAACTTGAACCTTTCCTGACTCAACTTGAGCCCATTGCCTCTAGTCCTATCATTAGTTACGCTAGAGAAGAAGCTGACCTCCCTTCAAGTAGTTGTAAAGAGCCTTGTGTTTCCAGGCCTCATCCATAAAGGAAGTCATCAGAGCATGACAATTTTAATTTTTTCTCTAACCACGAACTGCATCAGGGAAGAAAAGCAAACACAAACAATGCAGTGAGAGGGAAAGGCAAACACGGGAGTTCTACACGCTGCTACGTACCAGTGTTCATGACATTTGCTGCTTGCATTTTTTATCTGGATGGGGTTGACAGCAGATGCCTCTTCAAAAGGCTGCAGCAAACACCTGGTAGCCATGAAGTCTCAGCCTGACCCCATTTTGTAAGCAGGCTGTAGCACAAAGGACATGCAGCTGGGTGCCAAGGTGCGCGTGGGGCACCTCATTACAAAAGCAGATTTCACCTGGGCTCCAGCCAGGGCACAGGGACCCTTCCTGCGCTCTCAGTAGGCCACAGGTTTAGCCTGTGGGCTAAGCAGTACCACGATAGCTGCCTGTGATAATCAGTTCTGTGCTGGCCCGGTCTTGACACTTACATTATAGCACGGAGCTCCTCCCAGTGGGTGGTCGCAACCGTGAGCTTCTTGTTGCTTTATCTAATCCTCAGAAAAATTTCTGTAGCTGCAAAAAAGACCAGAAACTCCAGACCAAGGACTTGCTTGTTAAAGATTGTTATGTCTCAATGTAATGCTGGACTCTGCCCTTATGCATGCTAGTGAAACTGTGTTTCTCAGCTCCCCCTATAAGGACTTCTCTGGCATTCTTGTGTGAGAGCTGCACTGTAAACTGTTCTGAGAAGCAACAAGCAAATCAAACTTACATAGTTTCTGAGTTATCATTCTTGAGAGTTTAATTTAGTGCTCAAAGGTCACCAACTTCACACAAAAAAAAAAAAAAAAAAAAAAAAAAAAAAAAAAAAATCCCTAGTAAAGATAAATGAAACAGGAGACAGGAGCTTTCTTTTATTGTATCAGGCAGCAATGATTCAGATGAAATCAGAAATCCCACAGCATTTATGGACTCATCAAGCCATGTAGACTGTTCTGTGTTTTTCAGATTTCATCTGTAAAAACCAGCATGAACTTTGGCTGAGCAAAGACACAATTTCATGTAAAATTTCAGGATTCAAATTGTAAGTCTCAGAATCTGAATTTTCTATCATGATATCTCTTTAATGGGATTTTTTAAAAAATAGAATAATTCAGCTTTTTATAAGTGCTTATTTCAAAAACTGTTAATTTTGCTCTTTAAAATGTCTCTTTTTTGAAAAGTACAAAAATAATTTTTGCAAATAACTGCCCACTTTTTTGGCTGTTTTACTGCTATTCAAGGAAAATAAAATCTAAAGATAATAAACTCATCACTAGTATTTTCTATAACACTGAAAAACTGGGTAATCCTACCCACTTTTAGTCTTAATTTGGCATAGATTATTACAAATTTAATAACTGTTAATCCAACAGCTGTTATTGAAGGCAACAACACAAGCAAACAATGGAAAGTCTATATTGTAGCCATTGTATTTGCTTTGCAGCAATTGTGTGTCTAAGCAACATAAAAATGTTGTTGATTTTAGAAAAAAGTGGCTAAAAACCTTTACACTGTATAATCCTGACACTGACAATACGTAGACAGACTTTGATGGGATGCACTAGTTACTACCTATGAAAATGTCCAGAAGATGTTTGAATACTTTAACGTTACCCAGGCAAAAATTAATTGCAAGGCAGTTATGCTGTTATTCTCAGACTAATTTCACCAGCAAGAATGGTCTTACAGTTGCCAACCAAGGCTAGGAGGTCTGCATATGCAAGTATATCACCAGGAAGAACAAATTTGTGCATATATGGGAAAAATTGCAAGAAGTTTACAAACTGGAAGGGAAAAAAACCCAATACTGTATACTGGAGTAATTAGTCCAGCGGTTTCCTGAAGACCTGCTGGTTTAATTCAGGGCTTCTTCTAGTGAAAGCAGTGTTTATGAATCTGGGGAGTGTAGAGCTTTGGTTGTTTGGCAGTGACTCTCAGCAGTAGTGTAGGTACAATAGCAGCCACTGCAACTAGCTGGGAATTTAAGGAAAACAGAAGATTCTTTCACAAGTTAAATGTTGTGTAACTACTAAAAATATATAAATAATTACAAGCAGAACTGCTGTTCCCTCTCATGTTATTCTACGCATGATATGGACAAGCTACAAACTTCTTTCAGTTTTCTGCCTAAAAACCAATATCTTTTAAGATATCTAGAAAATCAGTGAATCAGGAGACCACATATAGAAAAGTCACTGTGAAATCTCAATGACAATTTCTCCTTTGAATATGTCAAATGTATCCTTAAGGCCCAGCTGCGTGACTCAAAATCACATTGAGAAATCCCTTTATACAAGAGAAGGCTCCAGGGGGACCTCATTGTGGTACTTGAAGGGAATGTATAAAGGAGGGGCGACAGCTGTTTACATGGGTGGATAACTGATAGGATAAGCGGAAATAGTTTTAGACTAAGACAGAGGAGGTTTAGATTAGATATTAGGTGGAAGTTTTTTACACAGAGGGTAGTAACACACTGGAACGGGTTTCCCAAGGAGGTTGTGGATGCCCCATCCCTGGAAGCACTCAAGGCCAGGGTGGATGTGCCTCTGGGCTGCCTGCTCTGGCGATTGGTGACTCTGCCTACAGCACGGGGTTGAAACTAGATGATTTTTGAGGTCTTTTTCAACCCAAGCCACTGTATGATTCGATTATCTCATTGATATTTGATAGCTCAAAGTGAACAGCAAAACTCAATACAAACAGGAGAGGGAAAAATAAATAAACTGCTTTCAAAACAGATGCACAAGTGGAGGCAGAGATTTGAAAAAGTGCCTAAGGAATTTAGGAATGCACACCCTGCATCTCCAGGCAGATCTGTATTCCTAAATCACTTTGAAATCCAGCATTACTTCATGCTAAGAGCACAACAACTGTATTAAGTCAGCTTAAACAGCAGTCAGAGATCTGCAGCTGAGGAGAATTTTGAGCCAGTGGAAAGTTCTCCTGCTAAATACTATTTAAAAATGCTTTTTCATCATGTCTAGCCACTTTCTAAACACATGCAAACATGTAACACATGCTCCATTTTGCAGTATGAAGTTTTACTGTTTCAGTTTTGAAGAAAAACTCAATTATTGTTTATTGTCATCATGCGAAATTATGTAGTCTAATGTAATTTCACAAAATTCTATGCCCTGTGGAGTAACATTATGACTCAGGTGCTGCATTTCTGCTTTTCAGCAGCTATACTACAGTCATTGGCATTCATAAGCCTTTTACTGGAAGCAAGTGCATGGAATGCAAAGTTTGCAATTCACTGCTGGAACAGCATCTATTTTATACGGACAACAAGTGCCATCAAAACAAGACTGGAAAATTATCTTTCAGAAAGTACACAGAAGGACATTTTAAGACACTCATTGCTGAATTATCATGGAAAAAAAAAAAAAAAGGAGAAAAAACACAACAAAATGCAGAAAACTTTTTGTGACTTTCACAATGCAAGTTGTCTCAGCGCTTAATGGCCTACAAATGACTCAGGAACTTGGTGCACACTTAAGGAAACATCTGGTATTGTAAAATACAATGTTACATAAAAACCTCACAAACAATTTAAAGAGCACCTGTAAATATAATGAGAGAAGTAACCATTTGTTACAGTAACCATTTGTTACAGTTACTTGTTTAAGGGGAAAAAAAGAAAAAGAAAAAGAAAAAGAAAAAGAAAAAGAAAAAGAAAAAGAAAAAGAAAAAGAAAAAGAAAAAGAAAAAGAAAAAGAAAAAGAAAAAGAAAAAGAAAAAGAAAAAGAAAAAGAAAAAGAAAAAGAAAAAGAAAAAGAAAAAGAAAAAGAAAAAGAAAAAAGCATAAGGAGGAAAAAGGCTTGACAAGGATAGTGCTAAGACCAAATGGAAAAATTGAGAGAGAAAAGTCAAAGATTCAGAGGAGATGAGAGGAGAGGAGAGGAGAGGAGAGGAGAGGAGAGGAGAGGAGAGGAGAGGAGAGGAGAGGAGAGGAGAGGAGAGGAGAGGAGAGGAGAGGAGAGGAGAGGAGAGGAGAGGAGAGGAGAGGAGAGTTCTGTGTGTTTTTTTAATGCTGCAGATGCTGTTTCTCGATTATCTGAATTTCAGTGCTGTACATGCAAGCATTATATCAGATTGGATAGAACAAAACACCTAATGAAAACATTTTGTTGTTGGGATCAAATTTCCCTTCCATAAAAGGACATCTATAAAGCTTCCAAGTAAGTTGGTTAGCTGTGGGGTTTCTGTGCTCCAGGATAACACCAGTACCACCAACAAATACTTGTTAACTGGACATCTGGTTTTGCAATCCTGACAGATCTGTAGAAGAGCACATGTGAAAGCTTAAACCCTTTAAAAACAGCATCTGTACAAGAACTTTAATAAACCATGAGCTCTTAATAATCTCTAAATAGCCTGACTAAAATGTTTTGGAGTTTTTTTCTAGGAAGACAGTAACTATTTTTTGATGCAAATAAGCAACCAAATTTAGGGTTTTATGTGTTTTTACTGTCAGGAATAAATGTGTTTCATTACACTGCCACATCAGCCTGAGTTTTTCTCTGGTCCACGTCTTGCTTACCCTTTATGTTTCTGTTCTTCTGACTTGTTGCACAGATGAAAAACAGGTAAACTCTGTCTCTTGTTCATTCTTGTCTCCAAAATGAGTCTGGATCTAAGTGGAGGTGATCATCACCTGAGCTCATCCCAATTCTTCAACTCTACTTTGTCACCAAGCTAGCCTGTGCTTCTTCCTCTTAGAATTCCACAACCAAATACTACACAGGGCAACTCATGGAGAGCATCTTAGTGTTTTTTTGGGGGGCGGGGGCATGGTTTGCCTCTTCTGCATTCTTGAAAACAGATCTTTAGAAATATTTATAAAAAGCTTAACAGGATGCACAACATTGCCTCTGGTAAAACTGCTTCAGAGTGTCAGAATGAGACCATTTTCTGGGATATGGCCTAGGCTAGAAGCCAACCAGGAAAGGGAAATTATGCATGTTTAAGCAATTCTATTTATTTTTTTTTTTTAATCTTTCAGGATCTCAAAGATGCAGTTAGATGTTCTAGAGCAGTGCATTGCACCTACCTCTCTTTTTGAGAATAAGTTTGAAATCTTTAGCAGAGTTCCTACTGCTAAAACTCATCTACTTCATCTGGCATAGATGCAGACATCTCCAAGAGACTGCCCAAAAAATTCTCCAGTTACGTGTCAGAACAAAAATATCTAG